GTAAACATGAAGGAGTGAGATACCAATGTCTTAAATGTGATTTTACTGCAACTTCAGCAGGAAATTTGAAGAGACATTTTGAATGTACACACGAAGGACTGAGGTATCCATGTTCTCAATGTGAATATGCGGCAACTACAGCAAGTGACCTGAAGAAACATGTTGAAAGTAAACACAAAGGAGTGAGATATCCGTGTTCGCAGTGTGAATATGCGGCAACTACAGCAAGTTGCCTGAAGATGCATGTTGAAAGTAAACACAAAGGAGTGAGATATCCGTGTTCGCGGTGTGAATATGCGGCAACTACAGTAAGATACCTGAAGAGACATGTAGAAAGTAAACATGATGGAGTGAGTTATCTATGTTCAAAATGTAAATATGCTGCAACTTGGAAAGGTGATCTGAATAAACATTTTAAAAATAAACATAAGTGAGTAAGATACTCCTATTTTTAATGCGAACATGCTGCATCTAGAACTAGAGATCGGAAGATTACCATGATCAATGGCTATCAAACTTTTATCTTTCATTGTGGGATTTTCGAAACTCATTGCATCTTATCTTAAAATCAGATTTTTAAGTGAATTGAACAGTATTTAGCATATTCTTATTTGGTAATTTTTGTTGGTACTTAGCATAATATTTTTCTACTTGGTTTAGTTTTGGGCTGTTGGCTATTCCAAAAACCTTTATTTTATTAGGAACAGCTTTTTGTCAGTTAATGATAAAAAATACAAAATAGAGGCGTAAGTGTTGTGTTTCAAAAAGGGGGGCAAGAACATTCTAATATACCAAACTTTAAAGCAATACAAGTCTTCATCTAAAAACATGACATCTAGAATTTCTAATCATTCTGTAAAACCTTAAATGTTCACTAATAACTTTTTGTTTTTGACTGTTAAATTTTTTTCTTTCAATTTTCAGTTTGTTTCTTAAAATAAAAATTAGAATATAATATAATGACTTCAGTTTTCGAATAGATTTTAGCTTTATAGTTTGTTTCCAGTCTTACCTGGAAATCCTTCCATTTCATATTATATTTTATAATAAACAGTTTTATGATGGTTGAAGCTTAGTTTTTAATACAGGATTTTTATCTATCAAGTTCTTTGCTTTAATTGCCTATAAAAAGTAAGAATATCAAAGCTTTTCTTTTATCCTTCCATATTCTACAATATATTTTTCCTTTACTTTTCTTAACTTTTATTATCTAGTTCGTATATCAAATGCTCAATCTATTTTTCAGATAGAATGGCAGAGATTATTAAAGAAGAATTAAATATAGAAGAGTTTGAGATAAAGGAAGAGATAGTTTCCTTTAAAGATGAAATCCTTCTCTTCTCTACCGTAGAAGATACAAGTACTTTTATTCTTCACAAAGATGATATAAAGATGGAAAATAAAGGAATACAAGGTAAACCTAATTACTTCGCATTTTCATACAAGAAACTTAGATGTTTTATAATCAATAGTATAGTTTGAATTAAAAAAAATGGTAACGTTCTGAGCTTTATAATTTTTAAAATATTTTTGATTTAATTGAAAAAAAAAATCCCAAGAAACTGTAAAAATTATCAAATGATTATGTAAGAAAAAATTAATAAATTGATGATAAAAAAAAAAAAGCTCAGAAAAGCTTCAAAGAATATTTTTTTATAAATGGAAGGTAGTGAGAGGTTAGGAGGTGGGGAGGGGGAGGTATGAGTAGATATATTCTGACACCTTAAGTAAACATGTAAGTGTTGTTTAGACGTATCAAATAATGGAATAAAGGAAACAATACAGAATAAACCTGTATTTGATCCTGACTTGCACCTTGAGTTGATAATTAAAGTTGAATTCGAGGATTTGATTCAAATAATGAGAAAAGCAGAATTGTTCTGTTTTTATGTATGAAGACATCCCCCCCCCGTATGCAAAAAAGCGGGTAATACTTCAAAATATAACTCTTGGAGAAGATAAAATTTTTTGTGAGAAAAAGTTTAATTTTTAATCTCTCAAAGTGTCAAAAGAAAAATTCTTGAGTTGAGGAGAAGAGGGGGAAATTGCTCCAAGAGTAAACCAATGTATTTTTCTAGGTGTACAAGATGTTGAAAACAGTAAACCTGTAATTGATCACGATTTTCACACCGAGCTAATCATTTAAGACGAATATGAGGATTGTAATTTAGGTAATATGGACATTTATATTAAAATCGAAAAAAATACCCTTGAATTACAAATAATACATGATTTTTAAAAATATTATTAATTTCATTCAATTTTAATGGAAGTGGTGCAGTGAGATAGGGTCTACCCTAACCTTTCTCCAGATTGATAGAGAAACTATTTTATTTATTCATTTAATCAGAAGTTTCTTGAAATCCATCTTCTTAAGCAAGTCAACTGAAGAAATCACGTTGAAAAATAATTCAAATTCAAATTTATTTAAATTTTGTTAAAAGAAGCTGTTAAAAAAAGTAAATATCGAGAACTTTTAAGGAGTAAAATCATAAATCCAGAAACAAGAAGTAAAGTTAAGAGGGAATTAATGGCATATCTTACAGAAAGGATGGTTATATATAAATTTTACTAGATTTAAATATTGAATTATTATATCTGTTATTATGATTATTCTGTAAATACAGTTGACAGATTCAAATGATAAACACTTCATCTAAAATAAAGAGTTGATCGAAAATTTATGCTTGCAGAATTAAACAATATTTTTTTTTATTATTTTCATTTGTTCTTCCTTCCTTTTTTTGTCCAAAATTTCAAACTTCATGAATGAACACATGTTTTTATAATATTTTTTTAAATTCTCATTATTATCTTACAGCTTTTACAGGGTGTCCCAATAAACATGGGAAAGAAATGACCACTTCTATGTCGTCTTTGTTCCAAGCGGGATTATTTCGTAAATATGATTTTTTAGTAACTGCAGTTAAAACATTTAACACCAAAACCTACTAGTCTCAGGATTTCCACAATGTGGTCTGTCATTTTTTCACCTTCAAAATTGAAAGAGATATTAGAAATTGGTTCAGATTCCAGTTATGTAAAAATCAACAAAATCTTCCTTAATTTTAAAGATACAAAGAAGGTAGACCTCATTTTAGAAAGCTGTACGAATTTCAATCTTTTGTGATGCACTTTATAATGTAATTTTTGAATTATCAGAATTCACAGACGAAATTCAAGTCGTCTCTCAATTCCCATGTTTATTGACAAACCCTACAATCTATATAAATGTCATCTTTTATCTAAAACCAAAGATGTTAAATGTCGTCTTACATCATGGATCAGCTGTTGTTGGCATTCAGCTGAACATGTTTTGATGATTTAGACCCAGATGTTTCTTTTGAGACTTTGTAGAAGTTTTTTCAAAAAGATTTCACCCTTCTCATATGCTGAATCTATTTTTCAGATAGAATGGCAGAGATTATTAAAGAAGAATTAAATATAGAAGAGTTTGAGATAAAGGAAGAGATAGTTTCCTTCAAGGAAGAAATCCTACTCTTCTCTACTGTAGAAGATACATGTGAAGATGATATAAAGAAAGAAAACACAGGAATACAAGGTGAGCTTAATTTTACAATATTTGTCTTTGAAAATCAATTAAAAATGTCCAAGAAACTGTTAAAAGTAATCAAATGATAATGTAAGAAAATATTTACTAATTGATAATAAAACAATGCAAAATAAGATCTCATAACAGCTTCAAAAAATATTTTAATTCATACATAGATTAGAGTGGACGGAGTTAACACCTTGAGTAAACCTGTAAGTTTTATGTTTAGATGAATTGAATACTGAGATACAGGAAACAGTAGAGCATAAACCTGTATTTGATCCTGATTTTCACACTGAGCTAATCATAAAACATGAATTCGAGGATTTAAATTCAGGTAATTTTTAATCAAAAAAAAATACCCTTAAATTATAAATAATAGATGATTTTAAAAATATAATTTATTTTATTCAATTCCAATGGAAGTGGTGCAGTGAGATAGGGTCTACCCTAACCTTTCTCCAGATTGATGGAGAAACTATTTTATTTATTTATTTAATCACAAGTTTCTTGAAATCCATCTTTTTTAGTAAAATTTTTGGTTTAAATAAATGAGAACTTTTTAGATTTTAAAATTACAAAAATATAAATGATTGGTTACTTTACAGTTTTTAAGATTGGTTTTGCAGAAAGAAATGTTTTTAATATTATTAAATAATATTTTTGCTGTTCAGGTGAAAACATGGTTGAAAGATTTGATGACTTTAAATCAAAACCAAACCAAAACAAGAAGCGTAAAGTGGATTACACTTGTAATCAGTGTGAGTATGTTGCAACTCAAGCAGGCAATCTAAAATACCACATCAAAAGTAAACATGAAGGAGTGAGATATCCATGTTCTCAATGTATATATGCTGCAATTACGTCAAATGCTCTGAAAAAACATGTTGAAAGTAAACATGAAGGAGTGGGTTATCCTTGTTCTCACTGTGAGTATGTTGCAACACAACAAAGTAACCTGAAATCTCATGTTGAAAATAAACATGAAGGAGTGAGATATCCTTGTTCGCAATGTGAATATGCCGCAACTACAGCCAGATACTTGAAGGCTCATGTTGAAAGTAAACACGAAGGAGTGAGATATCCTTGTTCGCAGTGTGAGTATGCTGCAACTACAGCAAGGCATCTAAAGAGTCATATTGAAAATAAACATGAAGGAGTGAGATATCCGTGTTCGCAGTGTGAATATGCGGCTACTAAAGCAAGTGATCTGAAGAGACATGTTGAAAATAAACACGAAGGAGTAAGATATCCTTGTTCTCACTGTGGGTATGCTGCAACTACAGCAAGGCATCTAAAGAGTCATATTGAAAATAAACATGAAGGAGTCAGATATCCTTGCTCTCAATGTGAATATGCCGCTACTTCAGCAAGGGATCAGAAGAGACATGTTAAAAATAAACACGAAGGAGTAAGATATCCTTGTTCTCACTGTGAGTATGCTGCAACTACAGCAAGGCATCTAAAGAGTCATATTGAAAATAAACATGAAGGAGTGAGATATCCTTGTTCGCAATGTGAATATGCCGCAAATACAGCCAGATACTTGAAGGCTCATGTTGAAAGTAAACACGAAGGAGTGAGATATCCTTGTTCTCAATGTGAATATGCTGCAACTACAGGAGGTGCTCTGAAGAAACATGTTTATAGAAAACACGAAGGAGTCAGATATCCTTGTCCTCAATGTGAACATGCCGCTACTACAGCAAGTTGCCTGAAGATGCATGTTGAAAGTAAACACTAAGGGGTGAGATATCCTTGTTCTCAATGTGAATATGCTGCAACTGCAGCAGGTGCTCTGAAGAAACATGTTAATAGAAAACACGAAAGAGTCAGATATCCTTGTCCTCAATGTGAACATGCCGCTACTACAGCAAGTTGCCTGAAGATGCATGTTGAAAGTAAACACAAAGGAGTGAGATATCCTTGTTCGCAGTGTGAATATGCGGCAACTACAGCAAGTTACCTGAAGAAACATGTTGAAGGTAAACACGCAGGAGTGAGATATCCTTGTTCGCAGTGTAAATATGCGTCTACTACAGCAAGTTACCTGAAGAAACATGTTGAAAGTAAACACGAAGGAGTGAGATATCCTTGTTTGTAGTGTGAATATGCGGCAACTACATCATATGGTCTGAAAAGACATGTGAAAAGTAAACACGAAGGGGTTAGATATCTTTGTCCAGAATGTGATTTTGCTTCAACTAGGGAAAGTTACTTTAAGATACACGCAGAAAATATACATAAATGAGTGAAATATAAACATAAATGAGTGAGATATAAGCTTAAATGAGTGAGATATAAACCTAAATAAGTGAGATATAAACATGAATGAGTGAAATAAACATAAATGGGTGAGATATTAACATAAATGAGTGAGATATAAACATAAATGAGTGAGATATAAACATAAATTAGTGAGATATAAACATAAATGAGTGAGATATAAGCATAAATGATTGAGATATAAACTTAAATTAGTGAATAAGTGATATATGAAAATAAATTAGTGAGATATAAGTTTAAATAAGTGAGATATAAGCATAAATGAGTAAGATATAAACATGAATGAGTGAAAAATACATAAATGAGTGAGATAGAAACATAAATGAGGGAAATATACATAAATGAGTGAGATATAAACATAAATGAGTGAATTATACATAAATGAGTGAGATATAAACATAAATGAGAGATATCCTTGAGAATGTTTAGCAAGCAATATGAGGAGACTGATTAGAAATAAAAAACTGTATCATTTATTCCTCTTTGCACCACTAAGCTTTAACTAAGTAATTTAATTGTTTTTTATACTTTTTTATTTAAACCGATATCAAGCCAGAAAACATGTCAACTAAAAATAAAACTTTGCAGAACGCGGAAAAAAGGTTTCCGATTTGTTTAGAACTTCTGAACAACGCCTGACTTTCTTATTTTTTAAGCTAGTTAGATCCATAGCTTAGGAGAATAATTTTTTCCAGGTTGGGCATAAAAAAGTCTTGATTTCCTTCAATCATTTTGTTTTGTAAATTTGAACTTAATACTTTTGAATTTTTTTCTTTTGTATAAAAAAATTATTTATTTCATTTTCTACCAACTTATGATTTGACTATAATCACAATTGATCAAATAAAATATTTCTAAACATAATTTAAAAAATTGATTTTATACATAAAAGCAGAATATTTTTGTATTTTATTTAATATCCTTCATTTATTTTTCAGATAGAATGGCAGAGACTATGAAGAAAGATGCAGATGTCAAGAAATCTGGAGGAAACATGTTTTGTAAATATATCTTAAAGATAAAATAAAGCAGGAAATACAGAAATACAAGGTAAACTTAATAATTCTACATTTTGTAACTGAACAATTTTAATTTGAAAACAAAAAAAGAACAAATACAGAGAAGATTCGTAACTAGTGTATATCTAAATTGTATATTTTTCTTTTGTATTAAAAAAATAATTTATTTTCTACCAACTTTTAACTATGATTTGACTATAATCACAATTGATCAAATAAAATATTTCTAAACATAATTTAAAAAATTGGTTTTATACATAAAAACAGAATATTTTTGTAATTTATTTAATATCCTTATTTATTTTTCAGATAGAATGGCAGAGCATGTGAAGAAAGAAGTAGATGTCAAGGAATCTGGGATAACCTCTACAGTAGAGGAAACATGTTTTGTAAATATACCTGAAGATGAAATAAAGCTGGAAAATACAGAAATACTAGGTAATCATGACAAGTTTATATTTTCTTGAAAAAATAGAAGCACATTTTGCAACTATGTTTATTCGTTCAGTTTCCTCTGATTTAATTCTTGGCAAAGTACAGTGTGTATCCGAATCTCCCAGAGGAAGGGTGTCAGCAGAGCTTTCTAAGCCTGTTGAGAGAAAGGGCGCTATGTGCGTTGTACTTGTTTAGAAGTCTAGATATCAAGGTCACTTCTCTCCACAACTGAGTGGAAAGCGTGATTATTCCCGAACAAGATATAGTAATAAAGATGAATACAGAAGGAATACTGAAACTCAAAACATCAGGGATGAAGTACACGCTGATACTGGTTTTAAGGGGGGAGCCTTCAATAGACTTTAAATCAAATACCATAAACTGGTTTTTCACCCCTCTCAAAATGGAAACTGGATTACTCATGGCAGACCTCTGACAATGATAGCCAAAAGACACACTCCCCGTGTTTTAAAGCGATGGGACAGCATGCTTAGCGGGTTATTTTTTCTTTAAAAAATCTGTCCACGTGGGAATACACGTTAAAAGTGAGGACTATGGTATATCTCATACCTGTTACCCTTACACCCCCATCCTCATCCGCCTACCTCCTAAATTCCAACCTTATCCTACTTCACGAGCAGATATAGTGGAACTCAGAAACTGCTTTGCTGTGGAATCTTAATCAAAACTTTCTGAGAGAGATCATCATTGGTTTCATTGGGTGTTCCTTTCCTAGGGGGTACATCTAAATCACCTTGAACCTAGCCGAATGCAGTTAAGGCTAGGAGGTCTTTTAATTTATTTCTAAATTACTGCAAGACACTGATACATATAATGCAGCTGACAAAGGGAAGTTCTCATTACAACAATGTCAGCAATAAACCTGCATAGATGGCCGATATCAAAAACAACTGGAATAAATATAGAAACTCAAGAGCTTATATTGAAATACTACAAATTGCCTGATCAGCACTCGAAACTGCATATTAACCCTCCTGGGGGGGCGGGGGTTTGCAGCTAATTGAATGAGCAAAACAGGACAGCCAGGAAACAAGAAGATTGGAAAAATGAGTATCTGCATTCTGCATTAAATACATGTATCAATTAATTTGTTTCATAAAAAAATTATAAATAAATAAATTGATAAAGTTAAAAATTCTTGGCAACGTACTGTAATTTACATTTAAAGACCTATAAGGGCAGGGTTAAAATAGATTTTAAATTCCAATATTTTATTTTATATTACCTCAAGTTGCATTGAGAGTCAAATATATTGAAATTTCCCATTCATTTTAATTTATATTTTGACTCGATTGCTTTTGTAAAAATATTAAAAATAATTGTCTCCATAATTTTGTCGCTTTTAGAAGGTATTGAGGGCAACTGTAAAAGCTTTCTTTATGAGTCTGTTGCTTGTCACAGCCTAAATATATCATTTGCAAACTCAAACTTAATCCATTTTTGCATGTTCTAGAGGTTTGAAAACATCAAAAAGTTAAAGGAGGGTATTGTATAAAGACCTCTTATAAACTAATTTTGTTCAATTCTTTGTTTAAATCAATTGCTTTAAAACTTGTTATGCAGCATCTTATATTGTTAAACTTAAACCAAATTAAAAGGCTGAGACGTCTAAAAGTAATAAAATCAAGCAAAATGTATTGTCTGTTATGTTGCAAAAATCTTATTTATAATATAATTGCCAGTTAAGCAAAATAAAACTTAAAAGTATAAATAATTAATATTTATATTTAACTATTCAGAAGAAAACCTGGAATACAAATTGGATCCTTTGCAGTCTGAACCAAAGAAAGTCAAGACGATTATATACTCATATCCATGTTCTCAATGCGAATATTTTACAACAACAACAAGTAGTCTGCAGAGACATGTTAAGATTAAGCATGAAGGAGTAAGATATCCGTGCCCTACATGTGATTATGCTGCAACTACCGCAAATAATCTGAAGAAACATGTTGAAAGTAAACACGAAGTATTGAGGTATCCTTGCTCTCACTGTGAATATGCTGCAACTACAGTAAGATATCTAAGGATGCATGTTGAAAGTAAGCATGAAGGAGTGAGATATCCATGCACTAAGTGTGATTATGCTGCAACTATAGCATATAATCTGAAAAAACACATTGAAAGTAAATATGATGGAGTAAACTATCCTTGCCCTAAATGTGATTATACTGCAGCTAGGGCAAGTGATCTGAAGAAACATGTCGAAAGTATACACGAAGGAGTGAGATATCCTTGCCCTGAATGTAAGTATGCTGCAACTACAGCAGGTGCTCTTAAGAAACATGTTGAAAGTCAACATAAAGGAGTGAGATATCCTTGTTCTCAGTGTGAGTTTGTTGCAACTTTAGCAAGTAGTCTGAAGAAGCATATTGAAAATAAGCATGAAGGAGTAAGATATCCATGCTCTCAATGTGAGCATGCTGCACATTCAGTACAGGGTCTAACGAGACATGTTAAGAATAAGCATTCGTGTTAGTTATCTTTGTGTTCAAAGTTAGTTTTTAATCAAAATAGGAGAACTAATGTTTTCCTTGGTTATGTATTAAAACATACCATTGCTCGGCAGGAAATCCCTGAGAGGCAAAGGGCGTAACCCTAGTGTTTTGAAATGATGATAATAATAATAATTACTCACGGAGGTCTTAAGATATCCTGAAAATTATTTGTTCCCTTAAACATCAATATTTTACAGATGACTTAGTTACTAGAATCCCATAATTTTGAAGTTACACCTTTCAAGGAAAGTTTTTTTCATTTTCCTTAAACTTTTGAAATCAATTATTATTATATAACTATATAATATTTACTAAACAAAACTGGTTTCAGAAAGTTACTACAAACATGGTCCCTCTCTCAACTCAGGGGTTTCACATCTTCTAAGAGGAGAGCTCAGGGGTGGGAAGTTTAGAACGAGATGATTACATTGTGTAACACTCCCCCAACCCATCCAAGGAACCGGGAAAGAACTGCTTCAACTCCTTGTAGAACACAATGAAGAAATCACAGGAGTTAAGAATCATAGTAGAGCAGCTCATCAGTTGCCATCTTTAAGAAAAATTTAACCAGTGTTCAAGATTCTGAGAATAATTGTTCAAAGTTTAACAAAGAAAATCACTTATTATTAGGAAACTCGTCAAGAGTTCTCCTTAAACCATTAACAGGCTTAAAATCACTATTATAGCTGGACCCTCAACAGGCTTAACATAACCAGGAACGCTCAATAGCTTCCAACTCCAGAGGACTCTCGAACCTGAAATCCAGCTCCTCTTGGAAAGGAACAGCTCTGGGATCTCGCGGACTCCCTGCTCATCACAGAACTAGGACCAGGCAGAGGTTCATCAGAACAAGGAGCATCCACTGAGGGAAAAACAGGCTTCTCCTGGTTAGACAGCTAGATTACTTTCCTATGATCCAAGTCAGCCCCACACACCCCATTCTCCAGTACAACCCAGAGTTCTAGAGATTATGTGGTTTTCCAGATTAAATGGTAGATATTTGTGAGAACCAATCTACTCTGAAGAAACCGGAGCTGTCTTTAATCAATCTACTTTGGAGATATCTGAACTATGTTCAAATCAATAAATTTACTATGGAGACATCAGAGCTGTGTTCAATCAATCAATCTACTTTGAAGAAACCGGAGCAGTTTAATCAATCTTTACTCTGGAGATATTGGAGATATTTTCAAATCAATCAATTTACTATGGAGACATCAGAGCTGTGTACAACCAATTAATCTACTCCGAAGAAACCCGAGCTGTCTTTGATCAATCTACTGTGGAGATATTGGAGCTGTGTTCAATCAATCAATTTACTCTGATAGTTTAGATGTCGTCATTATTATGTTAAAGAAAAGTCTAAATGTCGTCGTACTTCAGCTGATCAGCTGTTCACGGCATCTTTTCCTATAAACCAGCTGATTCATTTCAGCATAAAGTGTTAAATCTTTAATTCAGGCAACTTATCTAAATAAATCTTTACTTCAGGCAACTTATCTAAATCTTTTGAAGATCTTTTGATACATTTTATTTTTAATCTTGATGAACTGAATATTCGTAAATATTGACTTTAATATTTTTGCATATTAATGTAATAAATCCACCCTAATGAATAAAAACTTAAACTTAATAAACAAATATTTGTAAAACATAGTTAAAATTAACAAAAATTGTTCATTGGAACTATAGTAAATAACGTCATATTTTTTTTATTTTTCATACTGAATCTAATTTTCAGATATAGAATGGCAGAGACTCAGACAGAAGAATTAGGTTTAGAAGAAAAAGAGATAAAAGAAGAGATAGTCTCCATCAAGGAAGAAATTCTTCCATCCTCTACTGTAGATGATACATGTTCTGTGGATACAGATATGAAAGGTAAACTTGAAAAGTGTGCAAGATGTTGAAAACTTGTATTTGATCCTGATTTTCACACCGAGCTTATCATTTAAAGCGAATATGAGGATTGTAATTTAGGTAATTTGTGGAAACTTATATCAAAACAGTAAAGAAACCCATAAAATAGAAATTTATATGAATAAATTTTTTCTATTCATTATCTATATGTTCTTTTTCGTTTCTAAGGCAACTTAAATGACAAATGAGTGTGTAAGTTAGAGATAAATTGATTCCGTATCAAGGGGTTACAGGTAAGATATCATTTAAGCTGATATAACAATTTTAATTTTGGCGGATTTTCTTTTCCTGGTGTTCACGACATCTTCACCAATAAACCAGCTGATCTGTTCCAGTATATGGTGTTGAATATTCACTTCAGGCAATTTATCCCATTCTTTTGGAGAACTTTTAATAAAATTTCTTGTTAGTACTTCTTGGCTCCATTAATATTTCGTTGATTTATTTTTAATTGTGTTTTGCTCTTGGTTAATTTTTAGATTTTCAGCAATTTTTTGATCAAAATTTTGTCTTTATAACCACATTTTTATAAAACATGATTTATAGTAGCTTAAATGAATTTAATATTTAATCTAATTTTCAGATATAGAATGGCAGAGACTCAGAAAGAGGAATAGGAATTAGATTTAGAAGAGTTTGAGATAAAAGAAGAGATAGTTTCCTTAAAGGAAGAAATTATTCCCTCCTTTACAGTAGAGGCTAAATGCACTGTTAATGTAAAAGAGGATATAAAGATGGCAAATACAGGAATACAAGGTAAACTTAATAATTTCATATTGTCATAAGCATATATCTAAAATGTTTCATAATCAATAGAACAGTTTAATTTTAGGAAAATTGTAAATTACTGTAATTTTTTTTAGAAAATTCAATAAAAATGTCCAAGAAACTTGAAAACACTAAGAAATAATCATGTAAGAAAAAATTAATAAATCAATAGTAAAAAAAATAAAAATAAAAGCCTAGAAAAGCTTCAAAGAATATTTTTTCATAAATGGAAGAGAGTGGAATATGATGAAAAAAATACTGACATCTTGAGTAAACCTGTAAGTTTTATGTTTAGATGAATTGAATACTGAGATACAGGAAACAGTAGAGCATAAACCTGTATTTGATCATGATTTTCACACTGAGCTAATTATCAAAGATGAATTCAAGAACTTAGATTCAGGTAATTTGGATTTTTGTAGAACAAGAGATTTAGAAATAATTTCTATTTTAACTTTTGAAGCAAAAGTTTAAGAAGGTTTTGTGCTAATTCAATAACATAGATGATTTCTGTCTATTATTTCAGAAATCACTATTTGTGCCTTTTTCCTATTTACAATGGAAGATTTTTCATAATTTTGTTCTGGTTGGGGGTCATGTGGGTAAAGTTTTGTCACAAACATTGTTGGTCAGATAGATTTGACGTTTATTGAATACAAACAAACAAATAAATGAAGAATTAATTCAAGAAAAATTGATGCAAAAGCAAAAATATGCTTGATTTTTAGTTGTAATCAGTGTATGACATGTATAAACGTTTTAAAAGCTATTTGACTAAAGCTGAGTTGAGGAGGTGTGGGGAAACTTGCTCCAATAGCAAACCAATGTTTTTTTTTTCTAGGTATACAAGATGTTGAAAACAGTAAACCTGTATTTGATCCTGATTTTCACACCGAGCTAATCATTAAAGACGAATATGAGGATTGTAATTCAGGTAATTTGGAAATTCATATTAAAATCGAAAAAAATACCTTTAAATTATAAATAATAGATGATTTTTAAAAATATTATTAATTTTATTCAATTTCAATGGAAGTGGTGCAGTGAGATAGGGTCTACTCTAACNGTGGGTTATCCTTGTTCTCAATGTGAGTATGTTGCAACTCAACAAAGTAACCTGAAATCTCATGTTGAAAGTAAACACGAAGGAGTGAGATATCCTTGTTCGCAGTGTGAATATGCGGCAACTACAGCAAGTTCCCTGAAGATGCATGTTGAAAGTAAACATGAAGGAGTGAGATATCCATGTTTTCAATGTGAGTATGTTGCAACTACATCAAATGCTCTGAAGAAACATGTTGAAAGTAAACATGAAGGAGTGAGATATCCTTGTTCTCAATGTGAGCATGTTGCAACTACATCAAATGCTCTGAAGAAACATGTTGAAAGTAAACATGATGGAGTGAGATATCTATGTTTAAAATGTAAATATTCTGCAACTTGGAAAGGAGATCTGAATAAACATTTTAAAAATAAACATAAGTGAGTAAGATACTCCTATTTTTAATGCGAACATGCTGCATCTAGAACTAGAGATCGGAAGATTACCATGATCAATGGCTATCAAACTTTTATCTTTAATTGTGGGATTTTCGAAACTCATTGCATCTTATCTTAAAATCAGATTTTTAAGTGAATTGAATAGTATTTAGCTTATTCTTATTTGGTAATTTTGTCGGTAGCATAATATTTTTCTACTTGGTTTAGTTTTGGGCTGTTGACTATTCCAAAAACATTTATTATATTAGGAACAGCTTTTTGTCAGTAAATGATAAAAAATACAAAATAGAGGCGTAAGTGTTGTGTTTCAAAAAGGGGGACAAGAACATTCTAATATACCAAACTTTAAAGCAATACAAGTCTTCAGCTAAAAACATGACATCTAGAATTTCTAATCATTCTGTAAAACCTTAAATTTTCCCTAATAACTTTTTGTTTTTGACTGTTAAATTTCTTTCTTTCAATTTTCAGTTTGTTTCTTAAAACAAAAATTAGAATATAATATAATGACTTCAGTTTTCGAATAGATTTTAGCTTTATAGATTGTTTCCAGTCTTACCTGGTAACATTCGTGTTATTGGGATGTCATAATAGATAGATAGATAATAAACAGTTTTATGATGGTTGAAGCTTAGTTTTTAATACAGGATTTTTATCTATCAAGTTCTTTGCTTTAATTGCCTATAAAAAGTAAGAATATCAAAGCTTTTCTTTTATCCTTCCATATTCTACAATATATTTTTCCTTTACTTTTCTTAACTTTTATTATCTAGTTCGTATATCAAATGCTGAATCTATTTTTCAGATAAAATGGCAGAGATTATTAAAGAAGAATTAAACATGGAAGAATTTGAGATAAAGGAAGAGATAGAGTTATATTGTCACCGCCTATCTTTTTTTCTCAATTTCATTTTTTGGTTCAAAATGAATTCCTTGTCCCAAGTTACCTATGTTTTGATATATCGCACGCTACTTTTTATCTGAATTCTGAGTCAAAACTACGTAAGTGTGAGAACAAATCTGATTTTTTATCAAAAAGCGCGCAAACCCACACTTCTGTTTGAATCTTTTCAAAACTAGAAATGCATGAACATTGTAAAATACAAATTTTTGAGTTCTCAAACATAAAATCAGTGTCCTAGGATGATTCTAACTTATAAACACTGTATAATTAATTGACTGCATAATTTTTATAATTTATCAATAAAAAATAAATTAATAAATAACCAGTCAGTTTTAGTCATTTACATATATTCTGTAAAAGTCAAGGCGAAGCATTATTGATTTATGTAAGATTTATGAAAGATTTAACACAATATAATCTGATTAATTTTAATAACTGAATAAAGTACCAACGGTTGCAAACAAACACACAAACACATCAAAAAGTTAAAGGAGAGTATTGTATAAAAACCTCTTATAAACAAGTTTTGTTCAATTCTTTGTTTGAATCTTGCTGAATCTTTATTCAACTTAATATTTATTTAATTTAAAAAAATTAAAAGGCTGAGACGTCTAGAAGTAATAAACTCAAGCAAAATTTATTACCTGTTATGTTGCAAAATCTTATTTATAATATATTTGCCAGTTTAGCAAAATGAAACTAAAAAGTATAAAAAATTAATGTTTATTTTTAACTATTCAGAAGTATAAAGTACACACCGTTGCAAACAGACACATATGTTCCAACGCTCTATTTTTTATATTAAAGATTACTATTTAATCTTTTATTATTCAGGAGAAAACGTGATCGAACCAAAATCAGAGAGAATCAAGAAGAGTAAATATGAATATCCATGTTCTCAATGTTACTTTGTTGCATCTCAAGCAGATAAACTGAGGAGACTTGTTGAAATTAAACATGAAGGAGTGAGATATCCTTGCCCTCAATGTGAATATGCCGCAAAAAGAGCAAGTCATCTAAAGATTCATGTTGAAAATAAACACAAAGGAGTGAGATATCCTTGTTCTCAATATGAGTATGTTGCAACTACGGCAAATGCTCTGAAGAAACATGTTGAAAGTAAACATGAAGGAGTGATATA